ACAATAGAAATCATGAACATCCACTTCCAGTGAACAAACACTACAAAGAAACTTACTTATTAATGCACAAAAGTGGAAATGTACTTATAAACTAGAAATAATACATGGAAAGCAATGTTCAAAATAAAACATTGGGAAATAAGCCTACATGGAGACTCAGTTGCTATCAGTGGATTGTTTTGTAGTGGAAAGACAAAAATAGGAATGTTAAGTGAAATATTTATAAACAAAATGTGATTTTTATATGGCTGAGGCGTATGACTGAATTTAGGCAATTTTGAGGGAATGGACCTAATTATCGCTAAGTAATGATCGGTAGTTATTAGTTAAGTATTAGTTAAGTTAAGTTTCAGGTAGTTAAGTACGGTAGTTAAAAAATAGTTGCGGAGGAAAACAAAGTAGAGTCGAGTCCGCTCGTAGGCTCTGGTGGGATAAGGTGTTCTGATTCTTCCACACCCCACTCTACTAAACAGCTAGTGATGCATTTCTTGAAAATAATAATAGATGGAGGGAAAAATTTGATGAGAATAACAGCGGGATATAATATTACGATATAAAACTTCTGATATACCGTATAAGAAAAATTAGTCATCGAATGATACCTTGATAAGTATGAGACAGTTATTCCTACATTCTGTGCATATCGGGTTCTATAAGAATGTGATGTATGGTTAAAAATATAATCGAAGTTTTTGAAAATATGAATTGAAAGAAACTTGATGAACAACTGTCTTACACTAATGCAAGGAAATTTTACGAAATAGTACATTTTTGGGGTAGCGAGTTCGTTTATTGAAACAAACATTGACTGACATATTTCTGAAGGAAAAAAATAGTGGTTCTAAAAGAGTGGGAAAAAGAGTCACATTATGCCCTAGTGATGACAAATACATTAATTAAATACAGTACACTAATTAAAAGCATGTGATGTGAATTCAAAAAAAAAAATAAATAAATAATAATGGCAGATAAATAAACGCATGGTAACACTTTAAAATATCATGTTTTCAATGATCCTATAATGGAAAGATTTGTTTGACGTCAGATTTAAAATATAACATCGATCTTCAAACATGATTGTATAATTTGATTCTGTACTTTTAAATTTGTTAGCCAAAGAGTATTTTTCGAATGTGACGTAATGTAAATGAGCTGGTCTAGTAGTATAGCAGCCTAATAAACAATCTCCAGCTAGAGCATAGTAAAAAAATGTTTGTGATGTAATAATCACAACATTTAAAAGTACACGTAACGAATGAAGGTTTTTGTCGTCAAGGCTAGAAGCAACCTACCTACGCATTTGTCTGAAATGTCAAGACTTGTTATCAGTTGTATAACCGCTTCAACTGTCCAACTCTGCCCCTGGCTATGTGATAATAGTCACGGTAGCGTCCACCCACAATGTATATAGGTGAATCTCTGTCAAACGGTAATGCCATTGCAATCAGTTGATTATATAGCCTGACTCAAAAGTATACTCGAAAGTAGAAATTAAGAATTTTTTGTATTCAGTTCTTGATGTCGGACCCTGATGTTTTTATTGTAAACGTTTGTATTACTCACTCTACTTCAATTGAGAAAAAACTCAAATGGATTGTTAACTTCTAGGTTATGTTGCTAGTTCCTCGGACAAACGTATACAAAGTTTTTTTTACTCAATTCATCAACACAATCCAGACATTTCAAGTAAAAAATAAGAAGTTTTGAAAAACTCATTTGCTATGGAAAGTTTTAATGGAAATATTAGACCAAACATACGTGAAGGAATTAGTGTTTATGTATTGAATTATCCAACCTATTTCGACGAATGAATCGACATTTTCAAAACTTTGGGATATGTATTAAGGGAAACTCCACTGAACAACGTGAGAATGTTCTGATGCGGGGCATATACTGTGACTGACAGACAACACGTTAAAATACGTTACCAACTTTCAATGGTGTTGCTGCTTTAGCCTATTCAAAGCAGATTATGACTGTCCAGTTGGTAACCCAGAGTTTTTGGGTAGAGATGGAGCACATGAAACGGTTGATATCACCCCACTTTTCAGAATTCTCTAAGGAGAAAACTCGTTTGTTTAGGGGAATGTCTCAAATCAAAGAAATAAAATGACCCAACTTAAATTACCGTACTTAACAAAGGTTATCAGTAAGGCAACAGTTTTCTTCAATTCTCAATGCTAAAAAAACTTTGTTGCAACATGTTAACTTGAATTGAAGCAGAGCTAAACCATCCAATAGGAGTTATCAGTTAAAACCGAGAGCAGAAATAATGTAGGTGAGCCTTGACGACACAAATAGAGAAATTTAAAATTAGTTTCTAACAAGTTTTCAAACAACTCTAAGATGTAACAAGAATTACTCGAGTTTAAGCATAACGTTTTCCCCGATGATATGTTTTATAATATGCGGACCCGCACGGGTTCTCTAGTAAATACAAGAAAAATACCAGACACTAAGAACAACTGTAATGTTTTAAAATATTTCCACTAAGGCTATTTACTTTCCATAGACCAATAAATTTGTTTTCAAAGAGTAACACTCTGTTCTTTATACTTGTAGAAACCACCTTAAATAGAGTTTGTCAAACTTCGGTTACTAGAAAAATGTCAGTCGATAACAAAGCACCAGACCCATTACTCAGCCTTAATGACACGCTGAACTGCTTTAAAACTTTCACGCTGGATTCCCGCGTGGAAATTTCTTTAATCACTTTGAACTACTTTTGATTAATTAATCGGCGTCTTTATAACGTGACGTGATAAAATATTTTATAAATTATATGTGGACATTCATTCAACCTGGTAATTTAATATTTTACATATTTTACAACACATAATTCTGGTACGTGGCGCTTTTAAGATGTTAATCTGTTGAAGATAACAGTGGCTAAAAAAATCAATATAAACACGAAAAATAATGAATTAGTATAGTATTTTCAAGGAATCCTTGATTCTTAAAAGTATTATCTATAATATACTTCCAATTGAAATGACCTTAGTGATAGTTGAGTGGATATGTGGCATTTACATTTAAAATATATCATAGTAAAATTTACTACTGATAGTTATAAGCATTAACAAATCCAGGATGGTGTTTGTGACCTCGCCCACATCAAAACGAAAAAGTAAATCTGTTTTGGCCTTGGGTCTAGGTCTTAGAATCTACTGCAATAGCTCAATCCCTATTATGCGATATTCCCTAAAACACATACCTTAGTACTAATTTGAAATAATAACTTCGCCAATATAGCCTATCTGAATTTTTAATTTTTATGAGGCCTTTCGCCAGCTATGCTGGCATCATCAGACACATCACAAAACTGTTTTGACGACCACAAAATCAGAATTATGAACCCATGCGTAAAATAAGTAAGTACTGATCCACCTTTAGGAAAAAAAATACAATTCGATGAAATACACTAAGGTATGTCTTCAAGAAGAACTGTTTATATTGGAATTAATACTAATTTGAAATAATAACTTCGCCAATATGTTTTGTGATGTGTCTGATGATGCCAGCATAGCTGGCGAAAGGCCTCATAAAAATTAAAAATTCAGATATATTGGCGAAGTTATTATTTCAAATTAGTATTAATTCCAATATAAACAGTTCTTCTTGAAGACATACCTTAGTGTATTTCATCGAATTGTATTTTTTTTCCTAAAGGTGGATCAGTACTTACTTATTTTACGCATGGGTTCATAATTCTGATTTTGTGGTCGTCGCAGTAAACCTTACTAAACTCATAGTTAACGAATGAGTGAACTTTTTACATAACTTCTCAGTGAAAGCAAAATACTAATGGAATATGGATAAAAACACACACTTATACCAATTTGTCATGTAGTCATGATGGTCTGAGTAAAATTTAAAATATTAGCTTCAGTTCTGTAGTTCAATGTATTATTGATAAATACGTTGCTTCGCCCAAGTGTTAATATAATATTTATTTGTAGAAGGCCTACTTCATTAATCTTTGGATAAAAATAGGACCTAACCCAGGATTTATTAATAATGTTTTTTTTTTTACTTAGGCCTACAACATTCAAAACTTGTTTATCACTTCTAGATATAGTAAACGTTGTTTTACAACAAATAATTCCTTTAGGTGCGTACTTTTGTCCTCAACTTGTAAATCCCTTTGATAAGTGAAAACCATTTGATTTAATGACATCATGATTTTGTAGAATTAAGTGCAAAAAGTACTGGAAAAGGCAAAACTGAAATAAGAGGAAACCCCGCCGTTGCCGCCAGCACAGATCAGAGCTGTTAATAAGAGAGCTCGACCTCTGCGTCTTGGCTTTGACATCCGATGCTGAACAGGTTCTTTCTTATTCCACAACAATTTACCGGTCATATATAATTTTATCAAAAACCACATACTCAAGTTTCACTGTATACACTTTTCTTTAATAATAATCTAATATTCATCATAGTTCTCCTTCAATAAAATTAACAAAGTCAATTTCATTTGACTGAAACTTGTGTTTGTAGTACATTTAGTTTTTAAATGTCTAAACGTCAAAATGGTTTTTACGGCCTAAAATTCTTTGTTTGTATTTTACAAATCGTATGACGACCAGTAGGTATTTGTGTGCAAAAGCGTCGTTTACAAAGGGGCGTTGATGTCAAAGCTCAAAAAATTCAAAGTTGTCCGGCCCAAAAAGATTTTTGATGAAAACATAAACTTTCAACTGTCTCAGTAAGCAATATTTTTCTGAACAAGCTAGAAGTTTTTCAAGGTTAGAACAAATGTCTGTACTATAAGAGCTTTGTTAGAAAACTTAAGAATTGAAATCCATACGATTTTTTTAAACAGGCGTGTTGTCCGTAACATGATCTACGCTTGATTCCTAGTTTCAACAGTTAGGATGCACGATCGCGATGAATGTTTAAACATTAACAATGAGTGTACTGCTGCTTTTCATCCCTATGCATAGACATTGCAAATGTTTAAAATGAAAAATATTTGTCCTAAAGGACTGCTAGAGACTCACCCGGGGGGAGATTGTTGTTGTAGTCGTCGTCGAGGATGTACAGTTTGTTTCGATTGCAGGAGGCATTTCGAGACACACTGAAACAGAGAAATATCTTATCTTCAACATCTACTGTCAGCTGTGCGTACTGCATAGTCAATGTATCAAATAGAAAGAACATATTGTACAAATAATGGTTGTTAGTACTACTGCATCTCATCCATGAGAGAAAACAACCTTATGCTATTTGCTATATTCCATAGTTAAAACAGAGGAAATAATTGGTTTTGCGTGCAATAGTTTTAAATGACTTGATAATGGGTGGCACGGACAAGACCTACGTAAACATGCAAGTTTATAGCCAAGATAGATTTAGTAAATCAATAAGTATCACGTACACATTCTATATTTATCATATGTTAACTGCATTAGCTTTAAGTAAATATAACATTATACATTCAATCTTTGTATATTAATACAATGATTCAATGTAAGCTACTGTAAATAACTGGAAATTGTTGAAATATGCTTTGTTCTATGCTTTGTTACTATGTTTCTTTATTTACCGGTAATGGTTAGCGTGTAAATTAATGTAAATACTGTATAATGAACTATGGAACGAGTGAAAATAAGAACGCTTACGTATTATACAGGGTTAGTAAAAAGTGTGGAGACCCCCTGTTATTTTTTTAACGGCCCATACTAGAAAAACTAAACTCGGCACACCTTTATGGCATGTTATGAAGTACTTTTTGGGCATAACCGTCACTTGGTGTACATCCCCAAAATGGGGGATTTTGGGGGAAACTAAAAAATTTCAAATACAAAGACCTATCGAGTGACCACTCATTTTGAAGGTCCTGGTAAAAGAAAACCAAAAACGCAAACTAGAGGTCTTTATCTCAATCCAGTAAAAAATGGCAGCCAATTGAAATTCTCAGAAGTTGAATTTAACTTGCAGCTTTCCAAGTCTGGAGACCCCCTGTAAATTTTGTAGCGGCTCACACTAGGAAAACTAAACTCTACACACCTTTTTGGCATGTTATGAAGTACTTTTTAAGCCTAATAGCCACTTGCTTACCAAACCCAAAATGGGGGATTTTGGGGGAAACTCAAAAGTTTTTAATGATAATCCCCATCAAGTGACCCCTCATTTTGAAAGTCCTGGTAAAATAAAACTAACAACGCAAACTAGAGGTTTCTATCTCAATCCAGTAAAAAATGGAAGGTGATTGAAATCTTTAAAATCGGAAATAACTTGCAATTTTATATTGAATTGGCTGCCATATTTTACTGTGTTAAGATAGAGACCTATTGTTTGTGTTGTTAGTTTTCTTTTATTATGGCCTTCAAAATGAGGGGTCACTCGATGGGGCTTATCATTAAAAAATTTTGAGTTTCCCCCAAAATCCCCCATTTTGGGTTTGGGAACTTATGGGAATTTCAATCGGCTGCCATTTTGTACTGAACTGAGATAGAGACCTCTAGTTTGCGTTGTTGGTTTTCTTTTACCAGGAAATGAGGGGTCACTCGATGGTTCTTTGTATTTGAAATTTTTTAGTTTCCCCCAAAATCCCCCATTTTGGGGATGAACACCAAGTGGCGGTTATGCCCAAAAAGTACTTCATAACATGCCATAATGGTGTGCCGAGTTTACTTTTTCTAGTATGGGCCGTTAAAAAAATAACAGGGGGTCTCCACACTTTTTACTAACCCTGTATGTTGATTGATTATGTCCTATTTAAATTAATGGAATTTGGGCTCTGAATAACAATATTAGAGATTTGTTTCAGGTAGGTACCTAAAACAGTGTTCCATTTTCAATTTTCTGCTTTCTGTGATATTTACATAATCAGCTGCAGGCTATTCCTGACAAAAGTGAATGGTTAGGATAAAACATACCCTACAGTTTTGCTTCACTACGGTTAAACCCGATGTCATGCGATTTTTTTTACCTATTTACTTAATAGAAGTTTTACAACTAGATAAACGTTTAATTAATCGTATCATTTGACAACGAAATAGTAGGCCTACTGGTAAAGTATTTTCATATATGCATCAGTGCCTCATATATTTCGTAGGCTCCTAGTTAGCCTTATAATTTAGCCGAGCTTTAGAGAAAGATGTTTTTCAAATTAAAAAGTCCAATTGAATTTTGTTACTGAACCAAAGGCAGAATTGTACAACAAATTAAAAGAACACGTATTTTTTACTTTTCAGCACCCTCTCCGATGGAAACTACGTTTACAGCAGCTAGTCGTTTATATATTGTTTTAATATTTTGACAATATCCAACAAATTTACAGACATCACTTTTTAACCATTTTTTGTGTTCAGTGAAACCCAAAATTGATATTTCCACCCAAAACCCAACTCAAAATACTTAGTACAGTATAGCTAGGAGGAGGAGTTAAACTAATCGGAAAAGTAGTATTAATAACGCACATACATTCTACATACCAATTTGACGGGCATTGGACAATTGGTGTAGCTTCGCATAATTTCGTAATCATGAGCACACACATAGGTCAATAGATTAAATTATCCATTCACAAAGTACAAATATTGTAAAAGTAAGAATAATAAACTTATAATTATTTAGATCTTGGAACTTTCGTTCGTATGGTAAACAATTCTTCATTCGAGATGTATAGAAAATATCGTACAATTTTAACACAAGTCTTCAAATCATAGTAATATTTTAATTGATTTTATCGTTACGAGTAGATTCATCTTTATTTTTTCATATAACTTTCAAATTCATCAATTTTAGCATTAACTGCAAAACATAATATTTAGAAAGCACTTGTAAGTTAACGATAGCTTTTCACAACAGTTTAAAAACATGTCTAGCTCGCTTTCACAATACTAATTAAGTGCAGGGTTGAGGTTTGAGGGTTAAGGGTCGGGCGGCTCCTTGGCGGGGTGCGTGATGTGGTGGCGTGAGCAGTTGAATATCTGATTTCAATATAGTAAGAAACCTTGGACACACGACAAACACCTTGAGTTGTGTAGCGCCACTCTGACTCATTATAGCGTAAACACTGTGTTATACGCAGTAAAACTCTTCTCGCATTTCTCCAACTTTGTGTATATAGTTATATTTTCCCATTTTCATTTCTTTTTTGGCAGAATGGTTATGTGAAAATATTGTCATTGTTGGCTGTTGAAAGTTTCCATTTTATATGTTTTTAAGCTTGCTGAGATTACTTTTCTCTTTCATTTGACAAAATATTAATATTTAAGAATGTTTTCATAGTCAAATAAGTGTTTTCCCCAGTTTTTGACGGAAACTAGACCCTGCTTTATGGGGCGGTTGCAAGCTAGTATGCGCTCATTGTACGAGAATCAGCGATACGTTTATTAATTATTACTCCTTGATACATTTTTGCCATGAAATGATGAGTTCAGAATTTGAGTGGTGTTTTGCTTTTGAATATGAGTACTATGTGTACCTGTACGTTCTGATCTGGAAATTACCATCTGATCTAAAGCCATAGGATTATACTGGATAACTGTATAGGGCCTGTTTAGCTACACGGGAATGACGTTTTTTTTCTTTATTTTTTTTCTTTAAGTCTGTAGACTTTATTAACGTATTTATAATGTCTACTCTTAGTCATCCCAACCATACCCATAGTGAAGATATTTTATCAATAACTAATGCAGTGTTAGCAGCAACATGCTTCAGCTAGTACCCTTACAAGATTCATGCGGGTATAACTGCACTTCGATTACACAAGGGGATATTTTTATTTCTTTATAGAGGGTTGTAACTAAGTACTGTAGGCTTATTGTAGCTATTATTAAGCTATGCGATACTTTTATGGGTTTATCGATGCTAAGGCAGTGTAATTAACATTTGAAATAATATGCAAATTGATAACCATTCTATCAAATAAACCTAACCTTACTGCTTTAACTAGGAACCGAAACTTAGTATCATGCTATATGTTATGGTGTGCTGGTGATAATATTATTTTTTTTTTTTTTGTTGTTGTTCCTCTACAGTTTTTATTCTGATTTCGTTTAGAACTTTCAGTCCTCAATCATGAAAAGTAACTTACCCAAAATAACTACTGATGCTGATGTATGTTTTGCACTGTAAAGTGAAGGGAACACCTGCCTGTTCACGGCAGATTGTAACGGCTCAGTCTCGGTTTGACAACACCGCAAGTTGTGGCGTGTTAACTCAGGAACTTGCCAAGTGTTAGACGATTCTGTTTATGCGGTCATAACAAGTCCACTGGTTAACCTTCCATTTAACACGGGGTTATAGGGTGTAGTTTAAATGTAAATTAGAAATGCTTGTTCAGTGAATAACTAGGTACAAACATGTTCATCTAATTCTTGTTTATTATATGCTTCAACAACGTTTATCAGTATTAATTCAATTTTCAATATCTTTATTATGTTTTCGGCATATACATGCGTGCGGGTCTAAAGTAGCATTTTTACACCCTATGGAGTTAATAACAGTTTCAGTCCCCTAGGAAGTAAAAGTCAGTTGTTGTAATCAGTTGTATATTTCGATTTAAAGCTATCGCGTGCATCGACATTCTTTATCGATTGATTTATTACGTTATAAGGTTTTAGCTAATTGTTGTATTATTTTAAATTGTGTTGACATATTGATGGTATAAGGTACACACACACATTCATAGATTAAATGATTGAATCACAAACAGCTACTTATTTACATTAGAAGAATCGGAAACAAGCTGGAAGTCGTTTTGAGAGGCCATCATTACATGAAAAGTATTTTCTTTTTCCATCTCAGTTTGTTAGTTAATGATGCAATATGACGAGAAATATAGTTCCTCACACGGGAAATGTGTCTTTTCAATCCTCGCTCATAGTCCGTGTTAAACTTGAGCTTGTGTCGAAACAGTTACTTTACGCCCTAGGGATTAATATTTTTTTTCATTGTTTATTGGTAGATTTGATTTGATGTAAAAAAATACAGACACTACAACTCTTTTGTACAGTCTGGGACTATAGTAGAAATTAATATGCTAAATCTTTAAACATAGTATTTCAATATTTATTTTTTACCGTTAAATATTGAGTTTAATTCTTGCCACATCTAGTGTACCTATCCAGGTTGCTTGTACATCGAGCGTTGTACTTAATTGGAACTTCCTGGAATCATCTCGTATCTAGACTCATTTTTAATAATAGCCTATTTTCTTCCAAACTAAATGTACATGTTAAAATAACAGTTTTACCATCTGTTATAAGTATATAAAGCAAAATGTTAAGGCGATATCCATATATTTTGAGGTGGCTAGGGCTCTTATAGTATCGTTTAACCAGGCTTTTGCTGAAAGTACTCGTGTACCAATTTCGTTAAATTTAGATTTAAAAAAGTGAATTGAAAAAAAAACCTTAGCTGAAACTGTATATCGTTACAAACAATCTTCCTGGACCTTCATCTACTTGGAGATTGATGATTCATCAGAGCTTTTTGTGCTATAAATGTAAATTTACAATGTTCATTGTGAGTGTCCGACGCATGCCACCTTGACGCTGTGCAGGCCTAACGCACAGCGGTGCTTATCAACGGGCCAGTACTTGACTGCGTGTGTCGTGTGCTAGTGCAAAAGCTGATTGGTGAGCGTGTGGGGCGAGTACCTGAGGATGACCAGTAGGACCAGGGCCACAGGCCGCACACAGGGCAGCCTCATGTCCCGGCACCGCGGCGCTGTCTGACCATGTCCTCCGCGTCGCGGCACCTCCCCCTCCCTACACCACCCCCACCCCGCTGTAATTGTTATGCAATATTGCAATCTGGGCTAAAGACGGCTTAGCGATATTCTATCTTTGTTCTGTTATTGAGTAAATACTATTTACAGGAGTTCTAACGGTGCTGGTTATAATTTAGTTATTATAAGCCCATTGGCCTACGTAAACTTGTAGTTGAATCAATTAAACGGGAATTATGTCACAAATGTATAGATGTACTGACGGTTATAGTTTTGACCCACCAGAGTTGACACATTGACTTACCTGTAATATTGCGATAGCAAAGAGAAAAGTTATATTGCCTCTGAATTAATCATGCAATAATTTTCAAATGTTTAACTTCGTTGGTTAACTAACCTAAATGGTTAATTTAGTAAATATTTTATTGATTTTAAAATATCTACAATTGTTTCTCCAATGCTAGAAGTAGTACAGTATTGTTAAGGATGGTATAACAAGATACATTTCGTTTCCACAATATGTGGTTCTGATTACTTCTAATATAACATTTATAATTTTATAAACAATGTGGTAGGCCCGTGAATTTATTGCGCATTTAAATAGAGCCCAAAACTCGTCTCCCAGGTTAATGCAATACCCTTACATCTTTGATTACTCCGAGGCAGAAAATTAACATTCAAGAAAAAAAACATCATCATATAAAAAATTGTATGAGTGTTTGTTAAAAACAATTAACTATAATATTAATAACACTCCTGGCACTTTGGTATTATGCAGACCACACCTAATAATTATAATATAACATAACCTAACCTAACGTAATGGCGGACTATGTTTTAGATTAGGTTATGTTAGGTTAGGAAGATATAGATAATTCAACTAATTAAAATCTTATTTGGAAGTCGATATATATCGCACTCCTATTCTACAGAAAGTTAAATATGTATAGGCCTATAGTAGATCTATATCATACAAAGTGGTTAACTGGTTAACTTAGCTGAATAAAACTACGATTATCGGTACAAGTAGCCTATTTAAAGTTCAAAATAAGCTGTAAATAAGCTGCTGTAAGCTGGTATATTACAATTAAAATATTAAAACTTTTTAAAGCAAGTTTTTCAGCAGCGACTATACCTTTGAAAGCAGGTTTTAGAGATATCAAAGGCCAGGGGGAAGAAAATACCTGAAGGAATATTATCTATTTCATTAAAATTCGTCACTCCTCTAGATCATATAATCTTTAAAGTTCCACCTAAACCGTGAAAATCGGTTACGTAGGACTGATGGAAAAGGGACGTTACAGATAAAACCCCTATTGTATTGAGTATACCTCATAGTTTATAAGATATTGAAAATCCTAAACAGCTTTGTAAATGCGTTTGTAGGTTTAGATCTTTCGAATTTTAAAATAGTGAGTTAAAACACCTAAAACAGTAAAACGTTACTTAATTAACTAGAGGAATATAATCCGTAAATATCAAATTGTCCATGAATGTTTTTTTAATTTTAATTTTCTAAGAAAAGATTAAATAATAAAAAAAAATATGTACATGCACTCATGTCTTACTGTTAAGGTGTAGGATGGCAACATATAAATAACTGTTTCAGTCTAAGAGCTTGACTTGATTATTACTAGTATTAGGTTTTCTGATCGAATAGTATTTTAATTCAGGGACCTCTTTTGCGTTTTGTTGACGCTTCTTTACTTTAGAAATACTATGACATTCTGATATTTTACATCGTCTAGCTGTAACCAGACAGAGCAGAGTGTAGTGGAGGGGGCAAGCTTCAGTAATGGTGTTCCTAGAGCGATGCGATTGATCTAGTCCAGAGGAGTATGGCCGCCTCAGGGGGTAAGCGCCTTATCCTCAACTATTCCAACCCTAATGCGGTTACTTTACCTTGTCTATTCATCATGGTTTCCTATTTTAACTTGATATTATTGGACATAATGTATAAGGTAATAAACTATTATAATAACAATTGTACGAGGTTATAAATATATTTTTGTTTGGGGATTATTGTGATTTTGTAAGTGAGTGGTACTCGCCGAAACGCTGTTTGTCAAATAATTATAAACATAAATAACAAAATGTCACAATTACTTCGTAATACACCCCTCATGAGGATTTATTATTAATAACAGCAGCAAATAGGTAAAAACCCCAGTGGTGAATATACACATAGCATAACATTAGATAAGAAACAGTATTAAGTAGTTATTCCAGTATATGTTAATTGATAAATGTTATTGACTATATGAATGCACGAGCCTTTACATTTTAATTGGTTTGCTTGAGTACAATTTCCTGGAAGACTTTATAAAATCATACGGGGTTTTATATGCAGTCGAACTAAGCATTAACTAAAACGCAATTGTATCGTCAGACCTGGATTTTATTATTGCAGGTTAACACACGGAAATCACCAGACAATAATTATTTTGAAGTTATGTTGTTTTATTCATAAAATTGTATCTCTCACCACATGAACATTAAATGAATTCATTGAAAGCTGGCTAATCGTAAAACTAGTGAACTTGCAGTGTTATTGAGTTTAACAGCCACTTCTCTGTGTGCTGGTGGATCTCACAGTCGTTATGATTATGGTTATGACTGCAATGATGGAACTGCAATGAAGCGTTACTGTGTGCGTCATAGCCTATTCACTGTGTGTCCCCCCCCCCCCTTTGTTGCATGAATATAATACAAGAGTAATCCCACTTTTTAAAACTCATTGAAAACGGACAAGTTAAATGTATAACGAGAAGACCTGTAAATCTATTATTATTTTTTGTTTTAGACCTACACCATAATGAGAGATTCACCAACCTTAATCAGGTTAAAATTTTATAAAAAAAGAGCCTTAACCCTTTGCGGTCGAATGGCGAGTATAGGTCGCCACCCGCCATTTTGCCGACTGCTCAAAAATGGCGACCTACAAGGACCAAAAAAAAAAAAATAAAAAAATAAAAAAAGTTAATTTTTTTGGTCGAATGGCGAGTATAGGTTGCTGGGCTCCGTTTTCCTGACTGCTTGAATGACAAGCTAAATTCGCCGGAAAATGTGGAAAAAATTCGACCTCAAAGGGTTAAGAAAGCCTATAATTTGATCAACTTCTTGGCTTTGGTTAAATTTTGATTGTGGTTAAACATTCAACTCAAAGATCAGCTGTTGAATTACAACTTCTTTTTTACCGTTATTTTATAAATTACTATAGACATTAAAAGTGTCTGCACTATTACAATTCTGTCTGTAAATAAGTACAATTTTTATTTGTTTTTATACAAATAATTTTATAAGTTTTTCTGTTGTTAATAGATTACAAACTAACATGACAACAACCCAACCTATCGAGCCCCGTTTGGACGCTTCCACATAATTATTGTCTAATTTACCTGTAATCACCATAAACAGTTTCAATAATATGTTTTGCTGTTATATGTATACAGGGTGGCCCAGACCACCCGGCCGGCTTCTATAACTCCAATATGAAAGCAAATAGAAATCTGATTGCAACTGGGACCCCCTATTTTGACCCCAAAGAGTTCAGCAAAATTATTTTTGAACTCAAAAAAAGCTCCGAAAAGGGCAGATTTTGGGGGTTGGGGGTGATGTTTGGGAAATTTTCAAATGTAAAGGAGGGTCAGTTATACCCCATTTTAAAGGTCTTTGATCCCTATTTTAGAGGAAAAAGTTTTTAATTATTCTTATCCCTATTTACAGGGTGGTCAAAAATGTAAAGAAAATAGAGCTTTGAACTATCTTTCACTGCAAAGAGGTGAAATTTCGTGGGGGGGGGGGGGGTTGAATTTTAAGTAACAATTTAATTGTTAAATGAGCTTTGAATAATATCTAATCTCAACCTTTTTTTTAATTTTTTACTTATGTTTCGCATTTTTAAACTTTATGAAGTTTTAAAAGCTGTTAAGTCAAAAAATTCAAATGGCAACATGGGTTGAATTACGTACCACATTGTAGACCTTAAAATTACCTACATCATTCAAAGCATTATTAGAGCTATGGAATTATAAAATAACTATGAATCTTTGCAGTTGTTTTCTTTATTATATCAGACACAAGTGATTTTTATAGATACCTACACGTGTACAACGGCAAACACTTTAATACCATTAAAAAATAATTAAAGTACACTAAATTCACTATAGCTCTTCAACCGATAAAGATACAAATAACATTAAACACACAAATTGTAGCTAATTTAAAGGGCTAAGATGTGGTAAGTAATTCGACCCATGTTGCTTTTTGAATTTTTTACATAACAGCTTTTAAAACTTCATAAAGTAAAAAAATGCGTAACATAAGTAAAAAGTTTTAAAAAAGGGTTGAACCCAGTTTTTTAAAGCTAATTTAACTATTAAAGTGTTATACAAATTTAAACCCCCCCCCCCGAAATTTCACCTCTTCACAGTGAAAAAAGTTCAAAGCTATATTTTTTATAAGTTTTTGACCACCCTGTAAATATGGATAAGAATAATTCAAAACCTTTTCCACTAAAATACTCAGGGATCAAAGAACTTTAAAATGAGGTACAACACGATCCCCCTTTTCATTAGAAAGTTTTCCAAAAACCATCCCGCCCCCAATAAATCTGCCCTTTGGGCACTTTTTTCCAGTAAAAAAAAATTGCTAAATTCTTTGGGGGTCAAAATAGGGGTTTCCAGTTGCAATCAGGTTTCTATTTGCTTTCATATTGGAGTTATAGAAGCCGGCGGGGTGGTCTGGGACACTCTGCATATACAATATATCCTATTTTTATAAAAACCATTTTCGATTATAACATTCAGATATAGTTAAAATGTTCTCCAATATTTTTACAGTATTTTGTTTATCAAACCGTTCTTTTTTAAATTATAGCACTTCAAAACAAATTAGAAAAATCCATATTTTTGTTCCACATTCACATAAGACGCTAGACTCAAACCTGGGTTAGTTTTTCTCATATCACATGGTTGTGCAAAAATTCC